GGGTGTGTGAACCCCCGCCCCGGGTGGGTGGGAGGGGGGGGGGTCACTGCAACTCCTATTCTGTGCAGCGGGACAGAGGATGGTCACTGCAACCCCTGCTCCGTGCAGTGGGATATGGGGTGGTGGATGCAACCCCCGCCCCGTGCAGCGGGACATGGGGGGCTGGGGGGGGGCGAAGGCGTGGATGCAACCCCCGCCCCGTGCAGCGGGATATGGGGTGCCAGGCTGGGCTGGCTGAGGGTGGTGGATGCAGCGCCCACCCCGTGCAGCAGGACAGGAGGTACTGGGCTGGGTGGGAAGGGGATGGTCAATGCAACACCCACCCTGTGCAGCAGGACATGGGGTGGTGGATGCAACCCCCGCCCCGTGCAGCGGGATATGGGGTGCCAGGCTGGGCTGGCTGAGGGTGGTGGATGCAGCGCCCACCCCGTGCAGCAGGACAGGAGGTACTGGGCTGGGTGGGAAGGGGATGGTCAATGCAACACCCACCCTGTGCAGCAGGACATGGGGTGGTGGATGCAACCCCCGCCCCGTGCAGTAGGACAGAGGGTGCTGGGCTGGGTGGAAGAGGGATGGTCAAGTGCAGCAGGACAGGAGGTACTGGGCTGGGTGGGAAGGGGATGGTCAATGCAACACCCACCCTGTGCAGCAGGACATGGGGTGGTGGATGCAACCCCCGCCCCGTGCAGTAGGACAGAGGGTGCTGGGCTGGGTGGAAGAGGGATGGTCAATGCAACCCCTGCCCCATGCAGCAGGGCAGGGGGTGGTTATTGCCACCCCCAATCCATGCAGTGGGACATGAGGTGGCGAATGCAACCCCTACCTTATGCAGCAGGACAGAGTGTGTTCACTGTAACTCCCATCCCATGCAGTGGGACATGGGGTGCTGGGCTGGCTGGGGGAGGTCAATGCAACCCCCACCCCATGCAGCAGGGTAAGGGGTGCTGGGCTGGGTTGTCTAGGGGTGGTCAATGCATCAGCAACCCCATGCAGCAGGAAGGGGATCTTCAATGCAATCCCCACCCCGTGCAGCAGGACCCAGGAGATCCTGCCCTGAGCTGGCCAGGGGTGCTCAATCTAGCACAGCCCAGACACTGATGTTCTTCACCTGAACTGTCCGGGAAGTGCTCGGTAGCCTCCCCCTGCCCAGACCCTGCAGCAGGACATCAGGCCTGCTCGGCTGAGCTGAGCAGGACTCACGTGTTACTGCATGACAGCAGGACTCCTGGGTCCTTTGGCTGAGCGGGGTGCGGGGATGGTTAATGCAAGCCCCGCAGGCGCTGGGCGCCGGCATCTTTGGCCAGGAGATGGTTAAAGGCAGCACCAGCCTACGTGCTGTTTGTGACACCCTGGGAATGCGTGCGCTGGCAGTGCTGGGGTTTGAGCTGGCCTTTGGGTGTCTGGCCAGCCGGGACGGGCGGAGGGAGGCCTCGCTCCGCCGGAGAGGCGAAAAAACAGTGCTAACCAAACGTCTGGGCCGCGTCTGAAAGGCGCGTTTGTGAGCGGCTGCCTCAAAAACCTGCGCTTTCCTCTGGGTGGTCCTCTGACGTTTGCCCCACGGTGATTTTGTGGTGCTTGACAACTCTTACAAGCCAGCTCAGGACGTTTTTCAGATGCTAACAATAACGGAGGATGCATAATAAGCTTGCCCAAGGTCTTGTGCATATGCAGACAGCTACTTTTTTTTTTAATATTTACTTACATTCACACAGAAATTACCAATTTCAATATGCAGATCTTTCTCCAGTTAATCCCAACCCAGGTAGCAGTTATAACTAGGGGTTCCTGTAAGTTTAACTAGATTTTTCAGGTTGTGACTCCACTGATAAGTCAGATTTGTGCAGTTCCAATGCCAGCTTGAACGCTGGCTTATCCGTTGGGTTTGTGAGCCCTGGTTTGGGGCGTTGGACCATGTCCTGTAGTTCTCGTCTAACGTTTGTGAAACGGTTGTCTGCAGCCTGTTTTGCAGGAGAAGCAAAAAAATCCAGTGGCTTGGCCGGGGTTGCATGGAATAATATAAGTGGGGCCAAGAATTGAACATTTTCCTTGCTTGGTATTCCTGTGGATATTAGCTAATGTAGAGATTAACAGAAAATATCGGTTAGTAAAGCATGCTGAAACCTATTAGCGATGTCTGCATGTGGTGCGCTTGGCTTGATCTTCCTGTGGTTATCTTCCTTGTCTGTCTTGTCTTTTCGGTCCTTAACTCGGATTATACCACCTCCCTACCTTCAGGCCATGGGAATTTTTTCTGGCATTCAAAAAAAGCTATTGCCAGATCTTTGCAACATATGGCTGCACAGGGATTGCTGCTGAATTACAGCCAGCTCTGTAATGCATCAAAAGAAGTTCATTTTCAAAGCAAAATAACTGCTGAAGAGCTTAGGGACGGAAGAGGGAAGTGCAAAATAGGCAGAATGTGATTTATGGCACGTAAGCATGGCTGGAACAGCAAGGTTGCCAAAGAACTTAATTCTTAAGCATCATGTCAGAAGGGTGCTTGCGTTGACGCTGTAACAGGAGTTCAGCTGAACGCCAGGCCCACTTCTAGACCTGTGTGTTAAAATGAAATGATGCAAAATAACTGCTGAAGCCCTCACACTCGTAAGGCTAGTCTCCTGCCTGGTGGTGTGAGTCTTGCACTGCGATTTCGTTCGGAATTTCTTTGGGGTGAAATCTTGTTTAAAGGATGGGGAAACGTGAATCTCTTGCTTACTGGTGAGCAGAGTCCCTGGTTCTCATGTCTGCTGCTCCCAGGAGAGTTTCCGTGCTTTCTCCGAGGACTACTGAAGGGAAAACGGAGCTTCTGGACCGGTGCTTGGACCCAAGGGTCTCCAAGCTAGGGCATTGGAAGTTGTGCTAGAAATGAATGCTTTGCCCACCAGACAGTTTTATGAAGGGGAAGTATGCCAGTGTCTCCCCTTGTTGAAGAAAACGACGGAGATGTTTTCTGGCGAGGACCCTGCTGCCTTGTTGGTTTGATTGACCCACTGGATGCCCGTGGGATTGAAGTCCAGCATCAAGAGGCTTAGACCGTGGTGTCTCTGCATGCCTGGGAACCTTGCAGTGAAACTGGGACATTCACTGTGCCCTCCCTTGCCTTTTCTTTTGATCATACCTTGCTTTTGGTCAAATTAATGCAGAGCTGAATTCAGTAAGTGATGAAAGCTGGGCATGCAGATTGAAGGCTCGGTGGTGAAAGATTAAAGACGTGTTTTAACCACGTTGGGCTTTGCAGTTATTGCCGAATTTTCCGTTGGGTATGGAATAGATGTGTGTAGCTGTTTCCAAGATGGCATTTCAACTTCTGCTCTGCTTTTCTTGGTTACTGTTGGTGGAAGTTAGCCTGGGACCTGCCAAAAAGGCACAGGAGTCTCGAGCGCTTGCAACAAGTTGGATGAATGTTTGCACCCTCGTTGAAATGGAAAAACTGTCTTGCAGGGAAACAGGAAGACAGGAGGGAACTGCTGGTGAACACTTGGATGCGTGGTAATAGGGAAGTGTGCCCAGACAGCTTTTGGATAAACCTTGGCAGTTATTCCTAAATGAAGACTTGCTTTACCGTTGTTCTGCTTTTTTTTCCCCTCCTTTTTCTATCTAGTAGAGTTCAGCTAATTCTCTATCCCAGATTGTACTTTACTAAACACCCTATAATTAAAAGAAAAAGCTGCGCTTAACAGTGTTGGTTCTGAGAGCCAGTCAGTTTTTCCTGGGTGCCTAATCATTCCCTGCACGCTTTCATCCCAGGAGATCAGCGCTTTCACCTAATAATTAAGGCTCAAGCAGTACAAACTAGTTACGATTTGCTAAATAATTAATAAGCGCATCCTCTCTTTGAAGTCTTATTGTGCTCACTTAGAGCTAGGGGATTCTCTGTATAAATCCTGGAGTCAGAGCCAGTATTTGTCAAAATCGGGATTTTTTTGCTTCAGCTGCAGGAATCTGGAAGTTGGGCGAACAAGGAGGGAGTGACAGGACTTCTGCAGCCGGGCCGGGTAGATTTCCACGGTGGTGCTTAAACACGTGGGCTGGGGTATGCCAAGATCTTGGCTCCTGTATTTTGTTGCAAGGAGATAGGAGAGAAGCACGATCTGTCTCTTTTGTGCTTCTAGTTGCTTGCCCTAACGTTTCTGCTGCACAGTAAAGGGCCTCCTTATTCCTCCCTGCAAAATAGCCTGAAAGGGCACTGGGTGCAGAGAGTGAGAAATGGTAGGAATAGTCCACCTGCTTTATTCTCCCCCTGCTTTATTCTGCATTTGTTTTTTCCTGTAAACAGACTTCAGCCTCTATCCCCCTGGGTCCTAGCGAGCGCTGGCTGAAGAGACTTGGGTTATGCCTGCAGATTTGGCTCTCGCAGTGCAGTGCGCTGCCCGGAGAGCTCTTACGAGCCTTTTCTTTCACTGATACGTATGTTAGAAGCCATGCAGTAATTCTCGGTGTGAAGGAAAAATACGGGGTTCCTAATCCAGGTCTTGCATGCTGCAGCTTTGACAGAGCTCAGCGTGTTATAAGTTTGTGTGGAGGCTCATAAATAACCCAAGTCAGTAAAGGTTCAAGGTGACTGAATAATGCAGATTGGAAGTGTTGCTGTTAGTGCCTAATGCAGGGAGAATGCTCATTTATTGTCCTGAGAAGTCTCTCCTTTCTGTCTCTAATCTGCAAGCTCATGTTAGGCTGAGATCTGAGCAACTCCTGCCTAATGCATTTATTTCTAATAAATTCTAATGCATGGTAGGGGACAGCCATTGTCCTCAGAATAGGGGTGGGGAAGCAGATGCACCGCGTGTCCATGGCGAAGGAAGGATTGGGCATGGGTCTGCCTTGACAGAAACTTGGCTTCCAAGCCATAGCATGGACTTTCTGATTTTAGGGTCGGGGGGACAGTGGGATCAATAAATCTTGGAAAATGGGAAATTACCCATTTCTTTTATGCTCACCGGCTGAAATACTGTGGGCTCGTATCGCTTGAAATGTGTGTGAGTTGTGCTGGTAGTGCATGTTATGTTGTTCCAAAGGCATCAACAACCTGGCAGGGTCTGGCTGTATCATGTTGAGCTGGAAATGCCTCTGGCAGAGGCTGCACAATTAACTTAAGCTGTTCATCCTGTGTAATAGGTGGTCCTGATTAAGGGATGATTGTTTCTTCCCCCCCTAGACATGCCGTGTGTATATTCTACCTAGTTCTCCGTGCCCTGGACACCATAGAGGACGACATGACCATCAGCTTGGACATAAAGATCCCAATGCTGCATGAGTTCCACTCCTATCTCTATCAACCGGAGTGGAAATACATGGAGAGCAAGGAGAAGGACCGGCAGGTGCTTGAGGACTTCCCAACGGTAAGGCATCCACCTCCTTGCTTCAGCGCTTCCTCAGCCCATTTAGTCCCTGATGACCCAATAGCTCTTCAGAAAAAGGAGGAAGCAGGAGACAAGTTTTTGGGTGGTGGAGCTCATGTGGTTGCTAAATGTTAGGGAGTGCTCTGAAGCAAGTTGCAAAACTAGTTGCAAAATCTCTTACTGGCCTTAGTGAAGGAGTGGGAGTTGGTGATGTTTGCTTGGGAGTTAGCTAGTACTCTGCATGCCCAAACTTGGGAAGCAGAGCAGAAGATTGTTAATTATCTCTACAGCTAAACAACTGGAATAGAGTGTTTCTCAGCTATTACGTGGAGAGCAGTGTTTTAAATAAGAGCCTGTGCGTTTTTCTACCCAAGAAGCTCTGTAGCCACTGCAATAGCGTGTCTGAGTTGTATGTGTGGAGGGCAAGTTGTGTGCACGTGGGGCAGGAAGCACAGCTGGAGTAAACAAAACAAACTGTGCAACTCTGTATATGAGCCAGAAATACCTGACTATCTGAAAGTGAAAACTCTAAAAGTGGCATTTTGCCTCTGCTGCTGGAAGCATAAATGACTGTCACATTGCAGAGAATGATTTATTTTGTTGCCCAGGGCTGTAGAGCCTGTGTATTTTAGGGGTTTGCTATCCTATTACCCATCATAGGTAGGGGGATGAGGAAAGCTTATTTGGCATCCAGCTGCAGAGAGGGCAGTGTTTGCAGTGATCCTGCAGGTCCTGTGGTATAGTGTATCAAATAAAAAAACTTCTTCCCTGTTCATAACTACGTAGGATCCTTCCATTTAGCACAGAAAGTCTACCTCTCTACTAGTGAACTAAATAGCATTAAGGTCCTTTCTCTGACCCTTAGGCCAGCTGGCACAGTGTGGCTGTGTCCAAACTGTTAAACTCTCTTTGCTTCCAGAACAGCATGGCTGAATCCCAAACTATCCTTGAGAAATGCTTTCTGGCCCATGCTAATCCCTACACTCCGCCTGGGGAATGTTTGAGTCAGTGCTAGTTGACCTGGGTCAAAAGCACATTGGGGGGCTACGCTAACAACGACCTGTGTAGGTGATTGAGCCTGTGCTCTGTAATTATTCAATTTACTAGTCTAGATGTAGCTGTAGGGTTGTGGACCTGTGCTGAATGGGCCGAAGATGGCATGCAGCAGCGCTGGGACAGCACCACTTGTCCCAGGTCTCAGTCCCAGCAGGAGCCCAGTTCCTGCCTCTGAGCAAACGGCATGATCAGAGTCTTGCTGTTCTGAGATGCACCATTTTCCAGCCCCTCTGAGTTTCTGCAGGGGTGCTTTACCCACAGAGGGGAAAGAGAGTAGTCTGGCCAGTCACCCTAGAGGAGAACGATTGAGCTGACAGCCAAAAAAGAGATGCTGTGACTGAACGACAAGGCTAGGCTCTGTCAGGTGGGGATTCATACATCTGGTTTTAGCGAAGGCACGGGGACTGACCATCGGTGGACACTGCAGCTTTGCTATGGCTCATGTTAATCAAGAAAAGCTGTTTTTTAAAAGTTCGGTTTAAGGAGCAGCAGAATTATCATGAGGAACGCTTTGTCTTCTGAGGAAGTTCTGTTTTGATCAGCTTTTTGTCATTTTAAATTTAATCTGCCGTTAACAGGCTTTCCCTAGTGGAAGGGGACAGTTATTTAAAAAAATAGAGGTGTGTTGGAAGTTTGATGCTCAGCCTGGACTACCTGGAGATGAAGGGTTGAGATTTTTCTGTTGCTTCCACAAGCGAAGGAATTTGGGAATCTGTGATGTGGAGCTGGAATTTCAGAGGATCGAGTAACACCTGGGGCAGCCAGCAGCAGCTGTGTCCTGTCTGGGAAGGGTGCGTGCTGTAGGGGGTCGCTGTATCAGGGGATTCTCAATAAATAGCAACAGAGACATGATAGGTTTGCCAGTGGTTTGTTACTTCAGTAGAGCTTTTCTACTGGAAAGGTATTTAGAGAACTTCATTGTTGCCTCTTGGTTTGTATGTGTCACCAACTCTGACAATCTGAGTTCCTATTCAGGTTTGAGTTTAGTAATATTTAGCAGAGATGTATTCACAGTCAGTGCTTCTCCATTGAGTGGATTCAAGCCGCTGAGGCCGAAGCAGAGTCAACGTTCTCTTTTTACAGACAGGGAGACTGAGACGCAGGGCAAGGACATGCTAGCAGCAATGGATGGAGTTGGGAGTAGAGCTTGGAGCTGTGGTGGCGTTTGTATCTCAGCTGCAGTCGTTCAGATCTCTCCCTTTATGAGACAGACACCGCTTGAGCTGGCCGTAGTTACCCACTGATGGAGAAGAGAGTTCAGGAGATGAAGGCCCAATGAAACCTGATGACCAGATGCTCTGCAGTTTTGGCAGCGGGGAGGATGCGCTTTTTTTTAGTGTGAGAATAACTGAGTCACTGAATTATGTTACTGGAGATGCAGAAGAAGAATCTCCTGCATCCTCTGTTGCTTGATGCCTTCCTGACTGAGCAAAGGGCACCCGTGTGCCCGCCAGAGCTGGAAAAGGCTAGGGAGAACAGAGCACCTCTGCTTTCTTTCCCAGTGGTTGGTTGAATGAGGCTCACTCATAAATAGCAAAAAAACCCCCCAAAACTCTGTGCACCAAATGTAACTAGTTTTGTCCTGTAAATCCCAGATGATACCAGTCCAAGGCCACAGAGTCTTACCAAAGATACTGCCACGTCTGATGTACTGCCAAAGATGATACTTTTTAGATTCAGAACATAATGAGCCTGTACTTTAAGGGCCTTGAAATTGCTCTCTTTGTGGGAGTTGTCCTAGATCTCCAGCCAGAGCAGGATAAGAGCCTGGTAAACAGTCGTCTTCTGGCCTGTTAATAAATGTTGAGATCTGCTTTTTCTCCTGACAGCTGTCTTTGTTTTCTCTCGGTGGTTTGTGCTGCAGATTTCCTCAGAGTTTCGGAACCTGTCAAAGGTGTACCAGGATGTGATTTCAGATATTTGTTACAAGATGGGCATCGGGATGGCAGAGTTCTTGGAGAAGAAGGTGGACTCTCAGCACGAGTGGGATAAGGTAAGTCAACCTGGACACGAGAACAGACAGAACATGAATAGGATGGTAGCCTAGTTGAAGCCTGCAGGTTTTCATGTACATCTTCGCTTCCCATAGTGAGCTGTTTGATCTCAGCTGCCCTGGATTAAGGAAGGCAGGTGTGGAAGAGCCTTACTGGTAGCTTGGCAGTATTTGTGGTGTTCGTTTCCGTCACAGAGTAGGCTGGAGAGGGAGCAGTGTCATGAATGAAGGATCAGTAGGACATCCCAAGATACGAGGTCTCAGGCAACTTTGAGGAGTGGGGTTGGCTCCAGGCTGGGTGGAAATGCCTTCTCCAACAAAGAATGCACGTCCAGAAACCTGAAACTCGATATTTTTCAGGTTCATGCTTTCTGTGGAGGAAGAGGTGACAGTGCCTAGCAGTTAGAGCCTTCCTGTGGGAAGGTGGTTCAGCTGGGTAAGGGAGGCTGTGTGGGTTTGGACAGGTTTTGAGAGACTGCGGCTGCTGGTCCTGCGGATAACGTGATGATCATATGGATTATTGCTAGGTCCTCTCTTGGCTCTGGAGCTCATTAAATGAGGATGCAGATGTTCCTGCATTCCTCTGCTTTGCTGGCCCAGCTGCTCATTGAAATGCAGTGAGTCTTCCCTCTCCTCTGTCGTTTTGATGTTGCCCACTAGCACATGTTCTGGGCAACCTGTCATTTTAGCAGCTGTTCCCCTGTGGGCAATTTGGAAGCTTTTTGGAATTTGACTGCTGGAAGCAGAGTGTCACTAACGTTGGCAGGGACAAATCCTTGGTGATGTTTGCTGGGCTTGGGAAAGCTGAGACATTGCAAGGAGAAATCACACATTAAATTACACCTGGGTGTTAATTCCCTGAAAGGTATGTGGTACACAGACAGGTATTTTGTAACTGCTTATTTTACATTGTTTTTCGTCCTCTTCCCCTCTTGGTGCCTCACAGTATTGTCACTACGTTGCTGGGCTGGTGGGGATAGGCCTCTCCCATCTCTTCTCTGCATCAGAACTAGAAGATCCTGTCGTTGGACAAGACACAGAGCTGGCAAATTCCATGGGCCTCTTCCTGCAGAAAACCAACATCATTCGGGACTATTTGGAGGATCAGCTGGAGGGAAGGGAATTCTGGCCAAGAGAGGTAAGTGAAAACACTGCTTTTGGACAGGCATTTCTGCTGTGCCTCCTTAGGGAATGCCTGTACTGTGCTAAGAACAGCTCACGTGCAAAGACTGAAGATACTGTTGTTGCTGGGACAGTTAGTTGCAGCATCTTGTTGTGAGAGTTCCTCCTAGAAGTTCCTTTGGAAAAACCCTGACTGTGGGGATTCCACGGCTTTTGTGAGTTCGTTCGTGTTCCTTGGCAGTCTTTGTACTTCTATCTGAGATCTCTAATGGATGTAGCTAACCGGCTGTGCTTTCCAGGACCCCTGTCTCAGAAATGCACAAGGTGCACAGCTACAATTGTAGCCTCTGTCATGTCCCTTTAAAATGAAAGTTAACAGGAGAGATTCGACTGTCTAGTTTAATTTCATTAAGACTGTACAGGAGAGCTGTGTTACATGACAAACAGTAACAAAGCCATGCATCTCCTTAATGATAAGAGTTTTTCAAATGACAGCTGACTGACAAGTTTCACATCTATTTACAGCTTTATGGGTACAGATATAGTGATGAGATGATGTTCCTCCACGCTGTCAAGAGCTTGTTAGGTAGCTTGTTTCCCCTCTGTTAAGTTCTAGGAATGAGGGAGAGTAAGACTGAGTGAGATCTCAAGAGGTTACTTAGTCCATTTCCAAAGACAGGGTCAGCTCTGCCTGTGCCTGACAGATGCTTGTCCAACTGTTCTGAAAACCCTACAAGGAGAGCAATTCTCATTCCTTCCCCACATGATGTATTCCAGGGCTGACCTATCTCATAAAACATGTCTTATGTCCGGTGTGATGTGTGAACTGTCTTTTCTTTGCCCTACCTAGAGAACATGGGAAGATGAGTTGCTTCCTTCTTTACTGTTTGTATGTATGAAGGCCTCTGTTATGTCTCTGGAGACCTTCTTTCCTTCTTTAGCCTAATAAGCCTTGGTTCCTCAAGCCTTTTGTGGATCTGTGGTTCTTTTTGATATCCCTAGACCTCAAACTGTGCTGTTGTCTGTCTTAATGGCATGAACGTACCTTCCAACTTGTGAGTCTTTGTCTCGGTGCTCAGGTTTGGAGCAGATATGCAAAGAAGCTCTCAGATCTTGCCAAACCAGAGAACATCGATATGGCCGTCCAGTGTCTGAATGAGCTGATCACCAACGCTCTCCACCATGTCCCTGATGTTATCACGTACTTATCTCGCCTGAAAAACCAAAGTGTCTTCAACTTCTGTGCTATCCCTCAAGTAAGTTACTGCTTTCGGGTGGCTTAATGGGATCTCTTCATGTTCTGCAGCCCTGCTGATGAGAACTTGGGGGCGGGAGTATGTGTCATGTCAGTATTAGCCTGTTCTGTTCTCCTCTCTGTTTCTCTTTCGTAATACCTGCTGTTTCTGCTGTAGGTGAGATCTTGGCTCTGCTCCGGAGTGTTTTGCCTTTGATTTTACTAGGACCAAGATTACTCCCTTTGTGAATTCCTTGCAAAGTAATAAGGGCTCTTCTTTGTGGTATTCCTTAGGTGATGGCTATTGCCACTCTGGCTGCCTGCTATAACAACAAGCAGGTGTTCAGGGGTGTAGTGAAGATCCGGAAGGGACAAGCTGTCACTCTAGTGATGGATGCCACAAACATACAGGCTGTCAGAGCCATCATGTACCAGTATGTGGAAGAGGTAGGTTGAATAGTTTGTTTTGAACAACTTCTGGCTGTACCTGTTCTTGGTGTGGATTTGGTAGTCCCTTGAAGGCCCTTAGTGCCTGTCGTTTTGCTTCAGCTGCAATTGCAGAAAGTGACCAAAACCAGGAGGTCCTGGGTAAAGAACAAGGTCACTTGGGTCTGGGAGACTCTGGGGTAGGATTTGTCCTTGAATCTGTCAGTTCTTAGGTTGTGTCTATACAAGTCAATTCAGTGATGCTGAGGCACAATAATCCCTGACATGGGTTTCACCTGGACCAACTAGGTGGTGCTTCAAGACAATTCAGGAGTTAGGACATATTAAGGGCCATTGCCAATAGGCAGTTTAGATGCGACTGCCATATTTCAGAGGGTGACTTTGCTAGTGTGGATGTGACCAGATCCTGCTGGTTAACCTTGAGTCAGAAAATGGTCCCAGGTGGTTTAATTTTCCAGTGTGGAGGTAGGCCCAGGGCACTCTTACTAGGCCTGTAAATGTAAGTCCCACTAGAGTTACAGCTAGATGCGTTACTGTTTCTGACATGGTCTTGAGTTTCTAGGAGTGCCGGTGCAGCTTCAGCTTTCCTTGACTCTCATGAGGAAGCCTATGGTCCCATTGAACAGGTTTAGCATAAAGTAAGACAGGACACAAAGTTGGCATGCCGTGGCAGCAGTAGGGAAATATAGGAGGACACTTTCAAAAAGCAATCTCTAGGCTGAGTTATGAAGCAGCTGAGTAGTTGCAGTCAGCTTTTGGAGGTGGCTCCTTTCATTTCCCACCACCGAGGAAGAGCAAGCATGAGTATGGGGTGCTTAGCATCCTAGTCGGTGCACTGGTGCGTTCCCTTAAATTACCCTTATTGCCTGTGTTAGGAGGCAGTGACTGAGGTCATATTTTCCTTCCGGTCCAGAACAAGATGAGCCAACTTTCACAGAGCCAGGCTTTCGCCACCTGGACTGAAGCAGGCACAAAAAACTGTTCTAGCAATATAGTTCTTCTAAGCAAGTTGCATCATATCCCCACAGACAGCTCCATAGCAGCGGTCTTTTTATTGCTGTGTCCATAGTTGCAGCTAGCAACGTGATGTGCTTTCTGTTTCCTTGCACTGTATGGTGAAGAGTAAAAGAAGGTGGCTCTTCACAGGCTGTTCAAGCAGTGTGACTGCTGGCTTCAGGGTGCTGTGAATGCTAAAAGTTCACAAGCAGAAACAACTGCTGGATGGATTCATGGGAAAAAAATATTTCCGTGAGGGCTGTTAAATGAAAAGACATCACTTCTACCTCAGGCAGACCCCAAGTCATGGGTTATTAGAGCTCCTTTTGTGGGCAGGCTGACCGCTGTGATGAATGACAGTGATGCTAAGCCCTGAGGAAGGCCCTGCTGAGAAGCTCAGACAGCTGTTGTTCTCTTAGATGGTGGTGTCTCCAGAGGGCTGACGCTCAGTAACCATGGGGATTGTGGGGATACCTGCTTTTCCTTGCATGCCATCTGTTGACACAGAGATCAGCTCAAAGATGGAGTCACCACAGTGGATCTTAGAGAAGCCCTAGAGGAGCACTGGTGGGAGATGTTCAACTCCTGCTGTTGGGGTGGATAGATTTGCTTTGGGAGGGGTGAGGTTCTCTCCTCTTGTGTAAGCCTACTCTAAGGCTCATGCAAATGTATTGAAAGCCGTGAAGTTATCTTTTGGCAGTCACGGTAATTGCTGGTAACACTGAAGTGTCCTCACTGGTTTGGAGTGGGTCACAGCACATCAGCCCTGAGGATTGCTGGGCAAGAACCACTCATCCCAGCAACACCAGTTGTGGCTGATAGCCCAGGGGTTGGGCGTGGGGCTATGTGTGGTCCATCTCCCATCATGGGGTGCCCTCAAGAGGCTGCCTGGCTTAATGCACTTCTCAAGGGAAATGGGCAGCTGCCCTTGCTGGACTGAGACATCTTTTTCAGCTGGATCTTGCTCCACATGTAGGTTTCTGGCACTCCATCAGTGAGACTACTCTTGAAGAGATGGTGCTGTGCGGCCCCTGAGGCTTCCTCATCCATGTGGTGGTTCCATTCCCCTCTTCAACATTAGGTCGAAATGGGTGTTTCTCTTTTTTTTTTCCAGAAGATCCCGAGCACGGACCCTTCGTCCAACAAAACGCAGCAGATCATCGCCTCCATCCGCGCCATGAGCTTGCCCAACGGCCCCATGGCATCGCGTCACCACTACTCCCCCATCTATCTGTCGTGTGCTATGCTCCTGGCAGCCCTCAGCTGGCAATATTTGAGCACCATGTCAAAGGCTGCTGAGGAGTACATCCAGACGGGCGAGAACTGAGGGCGGGCTGGTGGTGGGAGAGATGTTCGGCGGATGGGCAGCAGAGAGAGGATGCTCTTTGTCCCCTTCCTGTGGGGATGGCCAAGCAGCGGGATACCAGTGGGCCTGCATGCTGCGAAGAGGACAGGACGTTGGCAGGCTGCGCTGGAGCCCCCACAGTCGTGGTGTGGCATTGCCGGACTCTGCTCCTGACCTCTCTTGCTGTCTGGTTGGATGGTTACAAACGCCAATTGTAGTCTTACTGTTTGGGGTTGATTTTTTTTTTCTGTTGTTTTTTTTTTCTCCTTTCCTGTTGGACAGTTTACCTGAATTTTTGGTTAGGATGGTTTTAAATAGAAAATCCAGTTGCCTCTTTTCTTGCTTGGGATTTGATGCCCCCCCCCCCCAGTTCAGAGCAGCATGATGGAGCCTTTGGGTTTTGCCTCCCCTTCTGATGCAGCCTCCTCCCTATTGCCTCTGCACTGGAAGGACACAGAGTGCTGGCATCAGCCAGGAAATGAACATGCTTCCTTATGCAAGGGAAGGTGCTTGCCGTTTTCTAGCTCCTGGCCTAGGCTGGTTACAATCATGCAGCCAGGAAATGAGCAGAGGCAATCTTTATATTGCTATTCTTGAGCTGAAGACAGCTGCTAGGCTTGAAAGAGAAGCTCTTTTATGTTTGCTACCTTGGAGGTGCGATGACTCTAGCTAGCCCCTTCTTAATGTGCTCCTGGCTGATGGCCATCTGTTCCATCTCCTGCCATCAAACAGGTAGCACTGTGCAATTGCAAAGCTTTGCATTTAGCAGCTGTGGAGGTGGTGACATGGAGGAGGTGAAGAAGGCCTGTATGGCTCTGAGCTAACAATTGTGTGCCCAACTTGAGCACAGCCCCATACCCTCCCTTGTGTAGTCTGGGCTTTGTACCACTCCTTCAGTCCACCCCACGGTTCAGGCAAGGTTGGGGGGGGGGGGGGGGGGGGGGCTGGTCCCTGGCCTGCTGCAGCTGGGGCAGAGTGGAGCAGGGAGATGCTGCCCATACCATCGCAGCAGAGCTGGGTGCCTCTGCAAAGTAGGGGGAGGAAGAGTCACACCATGTCCTGCATGGACAGAAGGGAAGCTTTCAGGGGGCTTGTGGCACTGGCTGCCTTGAAAGCCAGCTGTGGTTGTTACAGGGCTGGGGATGCTGGCAACACCAAGGTGGGGCTGGGGCAGGTTCCCTGGCTTGCTTGGCTCCAGCTTATGATGCTTGGGGTGAGTCTGACCTATAAAACTGGAAGACCCTCCCACTGCTATTTGAAACAGATCAGGCTGGTTTTACTTGAAACAGGCCCTATTCCTTTCAGGAAGAGCAGGGGTGGGAAGACTAAACATGTCTTTAAAGGGAAGTCTTGTTTTTCTTGGGGAGGATTTTTTTTGTCTCCAGTGTCCTTTACTCCCTCCCACTGCTGCTTTGACTTTGTGTAAGGGAGAGCAGCCTGTGTCCTGGTGTAGGACAGAGCTCAACCTACCCCATCAAGTTAGCTGGCCTTTGCAAGGCCAAGCCCTCCGTGAACAGACTGTTACTCAAAGGGAGGGGACCCCCTACTCCACAACTACTGGTGTAGATAGTTTTAAGATGTTGTTCAAAAAAAAAAAAAAGCTGCTATCTTGTTAAAATTAAAGTTTTTGTTGGAAATAAAACCTCAAGCAATTTTTTTTTCAGCTGTAATTTCCTCTAGTGGTGGTACCTAGCAGGGCAGTAGCAGTAACAACTTTGTGTCATCACTTTCCTGGTTCTGGAGCTGTCACAATATGAAGCCACAAGTCCATACTAGGAAATCAAGCAGGGCCTGTATCTCTCCTTATCATCAATAAGCAGCACAGCTGCAGGCCTACAGGCACCCAGCACTCATTCAGCATGTTGGTGCATCCTTTAAACAGACCCTCTGCTAATCTGCAGAGATGGCAAGTGCAGTCCTGGCTTCATCCTGGTCCCTGGTGGAGCACCTTCCACCTCACTGAGGTCATGCAGGTGGACATGGCCCAGAGGCTGCCTAGGAGATAGCACCAGTCAAAGGCAGCAGCTGCAGCCCCCTGCTTAACAGCAACCTTGTGACTGCTATGGTGAGAAGACAGGGCTGGGACTAGCTGTACTTGCATGAAGACAGAAGGCACCACAGAGGCACTGATGAGCCTGCCTTGCAAGCTATGCAAGGCACCATGAGCAGCCACTTGATTTTCTTTCTCCCATATTCCCAAGGGCCAGGACACAAGACACTGGAGAAATCATTTATTGGCACAGTTGTTCCATTCATATACACCAAAGCTCTGTCTCACTGTGGTCTGAACAAGCAGAGGTAAGGGGCTATTTATACAGTACCAGGGAGGGCCTGCTTCACATGTCAGGCTTGTTGCCATATACCTTGTGCTTTAAAAGAAAAAAGCTATTCTGCTTTATTAGTGTTTACAAATCACATGATTCCTCCTACACAGCTATTAAACCTCCCATCAGTAACAAAAATAAGTTCATTCATTCTTAATACCTGTGGCTCAAAAAAAAAAAAAAGCTTTGTGTGCAAGACAGCAAGATACCTCTAAGCTGCTGCATGAGCTCCCTAAACTAGATTTAGAAAGCATCCCTCATCTCCACTCACAGTTCAGCATCTTCAGCCCCAAAGCACTCCACCACACTCCCTTCACCTGCAGCATCCTTCCAGAGGCATGATCCAAAGCATGCCAAGCTGCACAGGCCACTCCACCATGGACAAGCATGGCATGGTTTGCCCCTTTTCAGCATGTGCTTGGAGCACTGCAGAACATTTGATCAAGGGCTCAGGGAGCTCTGGCTAGGCCCTTCCCTAAGATGAATAACCCCATGCTACAGCAGTGAAAACAAACAGCTGAGAAACAAGTGGTTAAAAAATAAAAATAAAAAACAGCCAAATGGGGCAGAGCAAGCAATTCACAAAGGACTTGTCACAGGCAGGAAGAGCTTTATTCAGCTCCAGCCCCACATCAAAACAGTCAGTGTTTTGTCATTAATGGGTCCAAGTTTAGCCAATTCAACAAGGCACAAGTTATCTAACATGCCCTGCTTGCTCTGGGCACTGAACAGACAGACCACTCCAGCCAGGCATGCACAAATCATGCCTGGAAGCAGCCTGAGTTTCCTGGCACGTTTGGTCTCCACTGCCCTACCACTGCTGCTCCCTACCCTCCCAATATCTGCCATATTGGGCTGGATGGCTGCAAGAGATTCAAGCTAACCAAACAGTGTGGCACAAGATGCCAGCAACCCCCATAGCAGTCCTCTGAGCAGGGAATGCCCCACAGCTGTGACCAGCCCCATACACACCAGGAGCAAGGGGCTTGCAGAGAGCAACTCACATATCAGTACAGGACCTGCTGCCTCCAGCTCCACCATACAATTTAAAAAACAAAACCCCCCCCCAAAAAGATAAAAGCTTTAATAAAGTAACCTCAACTATAGTCTTAGAGTGGGGGCTCTGCACCCAATCTATCAGTTAAAAGCATCAGGGACTCAGGATTATTTGTGAATTGATCAACTCAGCAGCAGTGCAAGAGGAGCCTTACATCTTCTTCCGGTACTGCTGTGTACTGGGGAGGCCAGCCACAACCTCTGACTCGATGCCACAGTGGTCCTCTCCTCGGAGGATTTTGAAGAAGCCTAGAAGTACATGAAGGGCAAGTTAGTCTCCCCATTGCAGCTAGGGCCACACTGAGGCTCAAAGAACCAAGGCCCCCTCAGACTAGCCTCCTGAAGGCAGTGACCTCCAGTGCCTCACCGTTATCACCCCAGTCAGTATTCCAGGAGTTTGCAGCCAGCCAGTAAGGAGTGCTGTTTTCAACCCCCCAGCCAAGGATCCGGATGGCGTGGCCTCCGACCTGCTCCCCAGACACATGCTGGTACACCCCTGCAAGACAACACACCAACTCACCAAGGGCCCCTGTCTTTCCATGTACACTACCAGCTTTAAGACACTTAACATCAAAATCCCAAGAGACCATCTGAGAAGAGCTGTTTTTTGGTTAAGCTTCTGATTTGAGTGTATTTAACTTGAGCAATGAAGCTTTTGGAGGAATGACAACTGCAAGAGTGCTCTTGTACCTCCCTCACCCAATGCAGACATGCCCTGAGGGCAACAGCAATGAGGGAAGGACTAATGCCATGTCAGCTCCTCATACCACACACCCAGAGACACCCAAGTAAGAGATCCAAAGGCAGCACATCCCAAGCAGTTCAGAACTGGGGTCCAAGCCAGGAGAACCATCTTCCAGGATTTTACTGCAAATCCCAGCATTGTTCTTAGCTGCAATTTTGAGAGGTCCCTTTTGGGCCTTCCCCTAAGCACCTATTCCCCTTGCTATAGCTTCATTTGTTCATTGGTTTATCTGCCCATGTTCTTGCACTGGGCAGGTTACAGCCTAGTACTGAAGTATTAAGGTCTTCTTCTGGACTGATGTAGAAGGACAAAGCTACACAAGACAGGTCCATGGATGAAGGCCACACTTCATTCACGTCTGAATATTTTGGGAAACCAGGCCATACCAAATCTCCTCAGGAAAAATGCAGCAGGAAACAGGGCTTCCAAGTCCCCTTGTGCTGCCACATCAGTACACATCACTCACCAGACTTGTACATGAGGAAGTCCTCGTAGACAATAAAGGCTCCTTCCACTGGGCCGTTCTTGTAGATCTCAGCCATGATTTCCTTCTCACTGCGAGGGACACCGTAGGATGTGATGCCTGCAGAGGAAAAGAAAGTCCTACTGTCAGCATGACATCGTCAGGCTACCCAGATTTTGGGACAGCTACACTTACTGCTTAACGTGACTGCGGAAAAGGGCTTCTCCAGTTAAGGATCAAATTCAAACACAACTGCTCAAGTCTGCTTATCCCTTTTCCAGAAGGAAGGACTGA